GTTATATTTCACTTCAAAGGCTGTGATCTCATGCGGTAGACTCAGGTTTGATTCCTCAGTAAGGTTGTGGATTTTTTCTGTAGGAGGCAAACATATAATCCTACCCTGCATGGCCTATGAACCCCTAAATTCCCAGGCTCTAAGACCTCTCTGATGTGGTTAGAACAGCCCGCTGGCTGCCTCTAATTCCCAGGACATGACATTGCCTTGTATCTATTTTAGGCTGGGTCAACTTGGGAACAAGGTCAATATTGTAAAAGTTCTGACACGACACAGATTTGATCACAAGGTCTTCAGGCCAGTGGGTTTTTGTCAGATATGAGTTTTCTTCCACTGTAAACATCATTCTCAATTCTTCTTTAGAATCTTCTTCTCTAGTTCTCAAAGCCACTGGTTTTCAGATGAGTAGGGCCAAAGCCTCTATGAAATCTGTGGTGTGATGCATGTCTTCCACTGATCCATACAGCTTAGTTTTCATTAGGCTGAATGCCAAACTTGGGATCTCTCTGCTGCATGTGAAGAGCATAACTGTAACACATGTTCAGTATTCTGTGGTGCCTGTCACCAAGGGCTCAGTTCTGAATATCCAATCTAGAATGTCTTCAAGCACGCAAACAAGATATAATAGTCTGTTTGTTTCGTGTGAGGGGGTTGATTAAGTCTTCAGGATTGTGCCCTCAATGCGTTTCTCAATGACATGCCAACTGAAACCTTCACAAACATTTATGTAAGTATATTATTTTTAGATTGCCACACTCATGAGATTGCCTTCATTTCATAACCTTTGTGGTTACTGGAGCAATGTTTGTCAGTTGACGCTTGAACTGTCCTTCTATGTATCTGCATCACTTCACACATACAGATTTCGTTAAAATATTTAAAAACACTTCAACATACATTTTCTACGTATTTCTATTGAAAGTTACACTGAATTACAGAGCTATGTGGAGTAAGTTCTCTCAAAGGATGACACCCAGCAAATATTAGCATAAACACATGACTAGAAACAGTCAAAAGACAATGGTCAAGGCCTGTGCAGCAATCCAACTAAAAACCTCAACCAACAAGTCTCTGGGTGATAATGGTATCTACGCTGAGCACCTTGTGTAACTATAAATCAAAGGTCACTCATGACATGACCTCTGTATAAATTAGGCACTATAACTTTTAATCCTGGATTTTTATTTGCTGAATTGCAAATGTTTTTCAAGGATATAGTAGTGCATCTGGAATTATACTGTTCATATTGCTATGTTTTTAAACTCCTGTTCCAGTTTTTAATTGACAGTGTCTAATTTACTGTCCTGCATTCTACTAGTTGTACAAAAAGTAATGACTGGAGACACTAAGGTTCTCAGCCAACAATTCCTTTGTATTATTATAAAGTAAATCACTGCACTATCTAATGCGTGTGCTGATCTTAAATGAAGCTAGAGATAAACACAATTACCAAAACATTGAAAAACAGTTGAGTTCAGAACTAATTTCATACAGCACTTGGGCGTTCTCACAAGCACTCAGTCTCCTATCCACAGCAGCTGGCAAAGAGCTCAAGTTTTGAGAGTATGAGTGCCAGTCTGATTGCACATCCTTCTTGCCGTGTCTCTTAGTGTTGAGTAACAGTCAGATCACCTAATTACTTACTGCTGCTCCAATCTCTTTAAACCGTAATGATCCATCCGCTTAGAGTGTCGAGTAACAGTCAGATCACCTACTTACTGCTGCTCCATCTCTCTAAACAATGATCATCTCTTAGAGTCTCAGATCCCTAATTACTTACTGCTGCTGGCAATCTCTCTAAACCGTAATGATCCATCAGAGTGTTGAGTAACAGTCAGATCACCTAATTACTTACTGCTGCTCCAATCTCTCTAAACCGTAATGATCCATCCGCTTAGAGTGTTGAGTAACAGTCAGATCACCTAATTACTTACTGCTGCTCCATTCTCTCCAAACCGTAATGATCCATCCGCTTAGAGTGTTGAGTAACAGTCAGATCACCTAATTACTTACTGCTGCTCCAATCCATAATGATCCATCCGCTCAGAGTGTTGAGTAACAGTCAGATCACCTAATTACTTACTGCTGCTCCAATCTCTCCAAACCGTAATGATCCATTCGCTCAGCGTGTTGAGTAAGTCAGATCACCTAATTACTTACTGCTGCTCCAATCTCTCCAAACCATAATGATCCATCCCCTCAGCGTGTTGAGTAAGTCAGATCACCTAATTACTTACTGCTGCTCCAATCTCTCCAAACCGTAATGATCCATCCGCTCAGAGTGTTGAGTAACAGTCAGATCACCTAATTACTTACTGCTGCTCCAATCTCTCTAAACCATAATGATCCATCCGCGCTTCCATACCGTTCACCTGCACTCAATGGGCTCTGGCTATATCTAGCTTGCCATACATAAATTCACTACCCAGTAATGCAGTATCGGTCAATCTGTCACCTGTTCAAATCCCAATACATCTGCTTGACCCAGAGGAAAGATTTAAAGATTGCTAACTGCCAGGCACCTCTGTAGTGATACTTGCTGTTCTGCACTGAGCATGCTCTATGAGACTGTTACAATCACAACATGTGCGTGCTATGGTGTTGTGGTATCATACCCTAGGTTGTTTTTGTGTGTGCAATAAACACCAAAACAAACTCTTAGCAGCTAACTAAAGTCTCAGTCTATTGCTAGAAATGTGTAGTTACAACTGGACAATTAAAATAAGCTTTGGGATTATCAGCTCCTATGTTTCATAGCTGCCAATAAAACAGCACAAACATAACACTTCTGCAAGGCACATACCTCATTTTGATTTATCAAGTTTTGTCTTCACTTCAGATTCAGGAAAACAGGGAATCATTATAACAGAGTAAACTAATAAAAATAATCATAAGGTGCAAAGGCACTCACAAATGTAAAATGTAACTTACACTGTAATCTTACTAATGAGTTAATTGTTATACTAATATACACATGAGTTGCTCAATGATTCTAATAATACTTATCATTTTAAAATTATTTATTTCACTTCTGCGAAGGTCAGAACAAAAAAAAAAAATTAGGAAATCATTAGTTTTTTTTTTAAATTTGTCCAGCTTAACAGCGATAAAAATCATTTTACTAACAAAATGCATGTAAACTTCTAGACAGGTAAGCTTTTATTGGTTACTTTTTACTGATGAATTCAAAATGGCTACCCGAAAAGATCACATTATTTGTTACTTCCCAATTAAAAAAAAAAGCTATTTCTCTGTCCACAATAAAGGCTGACTACGGTGCTCTCACCGCTGTCTTTGATAATGTTATATGGCGTGACTCTCCTACCACTGTATAAAAACCCCAAGAGCGGCATATTCAAGCCGCCCAACGTCCGAACTGAACACTAGTACTTGAGGATCGCAAAATTATCATAGGCATTTGTTTACCTCTAAGTCATACATTTACATTTCCCAATACATGTACACTGATATTTATCATGTTCATTAATGATTAAGGAAAATAAAGAATGCAATGAATATGTTGATAATTACAAATACACGATGGTTATTTATGTAAATATGCTAGTAAAGAAAATGCATGGAGTTCCGAAAGACGCGCATAAGTTTCATAAACTAAAACGACAGCTCCAAAGTAAATATTACAGCAAAAAAGCTTCCAGTATAGAAGCCATAAGTAGGCTATGCAAATATGTACGATATAAAAACTATGAATTAGCAACCAAAATGCTTCACTTTGAGGGGAAAAAAACATATTTAAAAAATAAAGCTGGAAAAGAGCTTAGTAAAACACTCAAAATGTGAGATTGTTTATTAGCACGCACGGTTATGAGAGTATTGTCAAACAGTTCTTAACAATAATATATAAATATCAGTGGTAGTAATACATTAGGGTGAATAAAAAAAGAAAGTTATCCTCATTCTGGCTGTAGAATTGATTTTAATCACTTTTTTTCTTCCTCTTACCATTATCCCACAATGGAACTAGGCCATCAACTCACGCCAAATTATCCTATCTTTTGCTATTGCATGCAGCTCATGAAGTTTTGGTCTTCTTTATTTCTATGCATTTTCATGCAAACAAATACATAAGTGTTTGATATAATCTTTTTGTTTTCCAAAAAACGTTCTTCTGTCAACAAGCTTTTGCATATCTGCATTTAAATGTGTTAGGCTGAGCTGCGTGCCATGAATGCTCAGTGTCTTCACTTTGTCCAGGGTGAATTTTTATGACAGAAGGGCTGCAATCAAGTGGGCCAAAACATGTTAAAGTTTTCTGTCACAAGATCAGAACTAAAGCGAGGATGTCTTAAGAAGTTTTTGTAGTGTCAACAGAGTGGAAACTGGTGTGCGGACACCTAAGTTCCACCAGCCTTTGGACAGCAAGCAGTCCTTTGAAAAGACGTATCTATGCAATGAGCAGCTCACTGTAATGAGCACTGTTCTACCACTTTCCGGACAGGTTTCAAAACCACATAACAAATTCATGCCTGCACAAAAGTGACTCTATACTGAAGTTGCTAATATGCCAATGCAGCAAAAACATGTTTTAATTTTCATAAACCGAGTGCTGACCGATTCTGACTCATGCCAATATTATATGATTGTGATAACATGTACATATAAGAAATGTGCCCCAGCATTTGACATACCTGATAAAGATTCCATTACAGCTTACGGCATGCCATGCAGACATTAATGTTCCCAATGGAATGTTGTTCACGTTTTCACAGAAATTTACAACATACAGCAATGTTATTTCTATCACACTTTGCAACAAATATATTTATTCATCAGAATAGGCAAAAACACAAGCTTGTGTGCTCCAATTAATTAAATGCATCTTACAATTCTTCAGTACGGGTAAATATTTTATGAAGAATTAGATTAAAATATAGCATTCTTCTCTTATTACATTATATGAAAAATAAATTCCACTTTTTATATGATCCACACACTGCAACTGACACATGCACAATTCTGCATGCACAAGCTGGAGTATGCTACTGGTCGCCTTGGTCACACACTTTCAATTTTGAGATAGAGAATGCTTTAATCTTGAAATGCTCACACATCTCTTTCACCTGGGGGCATAAAAAAAAAACACCTGTTATTATTCAAATAAAACTAAAAACTAACTGCAGTATTTTTCCTAGGTTTTGTCACAAATATTTGAAATGTAAGATACAACAGTTTTACATGGCTGATACCACATGGTGTTAATTTGTTCCATTTTCTTCACCCCAGAACAAACAAAAAACCAAAAAAAAAAAAAAAACAAGATCATGTGGAATCACCCATCCCCAAATCTCTTAAAAACACTGAAAAATTATGTTGGCAGAGAACAAACCACTATGCTGGTAGAGAACAAACCACTATGCTGGTAGAGAACAAACCACTTTGCTGGTAGAGAACAAAGCATTATGTTGGCAGAGAACAAACCATTATGTTGGCAGAGAACAAACCACTATGCTGGTAGAGAACAAACCACTATGCTGGTAGAGAACAAACCACTTTGCTGGTAGAGAACAAAGCATTATGTTGGCAGAGAACAAAGCATGTTGGCAGAGAACAAACTATTATGTTGGTAGAGAACAAACCACTATGCTGGTAGAGAACAAACCACTATACTGGTAGAGAACAAACCATTATGTTGGTAGAGAACAAACCACTATGCTGGTAGAGAACAAACCATTATGCTGGTAGAGAACAAACCATTATGCTGGTAGAGAACAAACCATTATGTTGGTAGGGAACAAACCACTATGTTGGTAGAGAACAAACCATTATGTTGGTAGGGAACAAACCACTATGCTGGTAGAGAACAAACCACTATGCTGGTAGAGAACAAACCACTATGCTGTTAGAGAATAAACCACTATGCTGGTAGAAAACAAACCACTATGCTGGTAGAGAACAAACCACTATGCTGGTAGAGAACAAACCACTATGCTGGTAGAGAACAAACCACTATGCTGGTAGAGAACAAACCACTATGCTGGTAGAAAACAAACCACTATGTTGGTAGAGAACAAACCACTATGCTGGTAGAGAACAAACCACTATGCTGGTAGAGAACAAACCACTATGCTGGTAGAGAACAAACCACTATGCTGGTAGAGAAGAAACCACTATGCTGGTAGAGAAGAAACCACTATGCTGGTAGAGAAGAAACCACTATGCTGGTAGAGAACAAACCACTATGCTGGTAGAGAACAAACCACTATGCTGGTAGAGAACAAACCACTGTCAGTAGAGATGGTAGTAGTGAACAATCCACTAAGCTGGTACAGAAAAAAAAACTGCTGGTGAACAGTCACATTCCACCGAGGCTGAGGCAAATAAATCAAGTCTTGACCCTCTCAACATTCAGCCCCCATTTTAACCATGCCGCCTACTAGCAGAACTTTCTTTAAAAGCTCAGCAAAACATGTAACAGAATATTTCAACATGGTGGTGGTGGTGGTGGGGGGGGGGGGGGGGGGGGGGGGACATAGCATGGCTATTTTAGTTCCTTAAGATCTCAGGAGAAGCCGAGCGAGTAGTTAGCCACAAGGAATAAAGCACACATGCATTTACTTTATCAAGGGCAGCATACAACTTAGAGCATAAATCATACAATGCTGATATTCAAAATGAAGGCTCAAAATTGGATCGCAACATGCGTTGTTTGGACACGGGCAGTAGCTGATCACACACGAATCGTTGGTTGGGGCTAAAAGAATTAACCCCCTCCCCCACACAAAATGGGGAAAAGCTCCCAAAAGGGAGCATCATGTAGCAATTTCCTCACAGAAAGTCACCCCTCCCCCAATGACAGCACGCCCAAATGAAACAGTCCCTCACCAGCTCACACACCTCATGAATTTTCTGCCCAGGGTGTCTCTTATGTCTCGTACCCATCTTCATGCTGGTCTCCCTCTGCCCCTCTTACCCAGCAGCATCCAACCTGCCACTGTTCTTTCTAATCCACCATGATATTTGATATGGACAAAGTATTTCAATTTTTAAGACAAAATGCCATTTAGAAGCCAATTTTCCTAAATGTTATCGTTTAGGATGTATATTCTTTTTTATCCACGATATTCTAAAAATCTTTGTATATCATTTCTGTCTAAAAAAAATTTCTCCTTCATGTCTGCAAGATAGTCAGCCTAATCTTATACTGCTACAGACAAAATGCTTCTTCTTCTTTCTAGTCCTGTTCTGCTTTTTAGCATCAGGGTTTTAAGAAGTACCAGGTATGCTACACATTTGCTGGTGTTTAAAGCCTCTGATAGTTCATTTATCCATCGCTTGCATGGTCAACCTCCAGATCGCTCCTATTATGTCATCATTTGACTTTGGTTTGCTTGTTAGGGCTTTCCCATAGACTTAAAACAAAGGGGAAATACTCACCACATATATTCCAAATATGACATGCTTGACTGTGATAAATATACAGTATGTCCATAACAAGTAGATCTCCCTGGTGCCAAGATGCAGCAAGTGTACCATTCCCACAATAAGAATCAGAGGGTACAAAGCTGGGTTGACGAGCTCACATCTTGTGCTACTCATTTGAGCAATTATCAGGTGGCACTAAAAGTAGAATATTCAATATACAGGTGAGAATGTCTGGAATAGAAAGGTGAGCAGAGACTGTGTCTACCTGTCTATCTATCTACCATTTACCTATCTGTATCTACCTGTCTTTATCTGCTGAATATTGTTAGGCATCGCACGCACGGCTAGTGACTGATTTCTGGGATGGCGTGCACTCATTAGCTTGCTGTGTGGTGACATTAAAGACTATTTAATTATGATTAAAAACCACATTTTCTCTTTGTAAATTTAAATACAGCACAACCTTGTTAACGCAAATTACAATGGCCTAAAAAAAATTAGGAGTTTGAACTTAAGAAAAAAAAAAATCTGCGTTAACTGAAGACTGATAATAACACATCCTAGGTGGGGACTAAATTGTGTTCACGTTAACCAAGTGTTCTTCTTAAATGAGGTTTTCACTGTTATAACATAAACATACTGCACAATTTATTGCCTGACATGTTTCACTGTCTCTCACAAGCTGCATACTAAAGCATTTAAATCAATATATAATGAAGCACAGAAGCACACAAATTAAGACTATTAAATGAAATACACAAATCTTATAGTCTGTTGTTGCACCACAGAAGTCTTAGATTAGCTGTATGATCCTTTTAATTAAATAACATAGAACTGCCGTTTCTAATTCAGACTTTAAAAAAGCATCTGCTCGTAGTGTGAAAAATAATCTGAAGGGTACAATCCTTATCAATTACATGCCTAGAGTGTAACAGATGATATGCAATGAAAAGAAACACATTTTTACAGCTAAATATATAGAAGACTAAAAAAAAATTTTTTGGGTCATACACAGTTAGCAATTATCTCAGTTATGAGTGTTGAACTTCCTGGGCAGCCTATCACTGACAAGTAAGCTCTAAAAGTTGACTAATTCCTTCAAATTCAGTTTGCATCTGCCTCACAGGAGGCAAGAAACTCAATAGTCTGCATACAAAAAACCCAGATCTAAAAATATAAAATAAAAAAATTGCACGTTAAAAAAAAAAAAACTCAAATTCTGGAACAAGACAAAGTCTAGAAGTAGCCAACAACCAGAACTTGCTGTCAGTGTTTACAGTTGGTGCATATTATATTAAATCTATAACAAGTTGAGCAGTTAAATGTAGATGATAAAAACAAGGCTCAAGAATTAGTGAACTCCTTAACTCTTTGAGTCCAAAAAGCGCGTCATACGTTCATAGATTCCTACCTAGAAGTGAAGGCAAGATGCGCCGATTTTACGTCTCCCTTGGGCCTGTGATGCTAAACCCCCTGGGACTCAAAGAGTTAAAATAAAATTTCATTTTCAACAATTAAGAGCTATAAGTTTGAATGTGGAACATCAATCACCTACTGAAATGCAAATGAGGAAAACCCTCAGGACTTGACCCAGCTAGCACGGTGCAGCTACAGGAGATTCATGAGATCAAATGTAGATTATCATATCTTGTATACTTTTAAAAACTGAAAAACCTGGATCGGACATGCATACTTCCTCATGTATTTTCGACACGCATTTATGCTGAGTCAATTATGTTCCCTCTAAAACTGGCCTTTGCTGCCAGGTCGACCTAGCCTTAACTGGGTACTGGGTAATATTCTAAGCAAAACTGGCATTGCGTATCGAGTGGTCCATGAAAATACGAGCCTAGTATCATATTTGCCAATGTTCTACTGGCAGAAAATGGGTCCTTTCTTGGTTTTATTTGCAGTTACAGAAAGATTTCCCAAATCAAGGACTGTTTCCACGTTTCCCATTATTTTTTTTAGTTACTGTTGTTAACAATTTATTTAACACATTACACCTAAAAAAAAAACACACACACTTACAGCTATATGAGAAAACGATGTTCCCAGGGTCCAGAAGAAGAGCCTAGGCTGAAGTTCAAGTATATCACAGGATGAGCCCAATGTCCAGGAGACCATTAAGGTAAACAGCACACATGTGGACACTAGTGGCCTCATAGCTTCTGAGAAGGAATGCATCTTTCCTGACTTATCTTTATATGACCTTAAAAAAAAATAAAAAAAAGAAAGAAATGAAGGTTTTAATATCTCATTGCTTCTATCCAGGAATTAGGTGTTGGTTTTCCATAAGACAGAGCAACATAATCAGATCTAGAAATTGGAAAGAGACAAATGTTTGCATTTAAGCATAACATAAGCTAGGGGATCTAAAAAAAAAAAAAGGAATAGTAATGTAATTGGCTGGCAACTTTCTGTCTTTCCATTTATATGGTTCTACTGTGCTACAGGGACACATGGGAATTACATTACTGATGCAGTAATACAGTTGAACCACTGTCAAAGCACATGATTGCTAATGAAAGAACAAAATGAATGTCAACTAGGACAGTTTAAAAGCTTGTTCGTAAGAAACTGCAATATCGGAAGGTGTGTTCACAAGGGGTACCGAGGATGTTGACTGATCACCAAAAAGAGGAACGCAATAGATGGTGTTTGAACCACTTGCTTTGTTACAGAGCCAAGGGTGATACATTTCTCTTCAGCATAGTAGAGATGATGAATCATGGTGTCACTCTGAGCTAAATAGCAAAAGAGACAGCATTCAATGGAAGCATAGTTAAGTTAATTGCGTATCCTTACAGGACGCTGCAGAACCAAGCCCAACATTTTTTGGCTGTTATGGCAAATTTACAACAGTAGTTTACCATTTTGTTTTATGGAAAGTCGGCATCTTGATGCCACTGTTAAAACCAATGCAAGGCGCAAGGCCCGCAACTGGAATCGAAGCCGACAATGAAAGCATAGCAGATCATCAAAAGCCAAGGTAAAAAAAAATTCAGTTACAAGTTTCCACAGGTATGGTTATGTTTAGTGCATTTTATTCACCACGAAGGGCTACTATTAGCAGACTTGAAAGAACTTGGTGTCAACATCATCCCTACCCACTACATTAAAACACTTGACTGCATACAGCCGATGAGAATAAATGTTCTGGTATGCTATCTTGTGGTGTGCTAAGAATATGCAGGAAGCATTAGCATGGAAAGTGGGAAATTCTGCACCATCCAGCTCAAAGTTCTAACTTGTTCACTTCTTTAAAAAAAAAGTTTAAAAAAGCCCTCAAAGGGAAAAGATTTCACACAGATAATGAATACAGTATACACTTGATTCAGACCACAATGCTTTTTTTTTTGCATACGGCATTCACCGCCTATCTAAGCAATGAGATGCTTGCCTGATGACTTTTTCTGACCAACACATAGTGCAAAATTCATTCAAAATAAATGATTTGTTTAATTTTGCCACACATGTTTATGTTTCTTTCATGCTTTTGTAATAAAGCCATTCGATCAAGTTTCATAACTATTTGCACAGGATCTCTCTAGCTGTCAACAATTTGCACAGAATCTCTCTAGCTGTCAACAATTTGCACAGAATCTCTCTAGTTGTCAACAATTTGCACAGAATCTCTCTAGCCGTCAACAATTTGCACAGGATCTCTCTAGCTGTCAACAATTTGCACAGGATCTCTCAAGCTGTCAACAATTTGCACAGGATCTCTCTAGCTGTCGACAATTTTCACAGGATCTCTCTAGCTGTCAACAATTTGCACAGGATCTCTCAAGCAGTCAACAATTTGCAAAGAATCTAGCAGTCAACAATTTGCACAGAATCTCTCTAGCTGTCAACAATTTGCACAGGATCTCTCTAGCCATCAACAATTTGCACAGAAGCTCTCTAGCTGTCAACAAGTTGCACATGATCTCTCTAGCTGTCAACAAGTTGCACAGGATCTCTCTAGCTGTCAACAATTTGCACAGGATCTCTCTAGCTGTCAACAATTTGCACAGAATCTCTCTAGCCGTCAACAATTTGCACAGGATCTCTCTAGCCGTCAACAATTTGCACAGAATCTCTCTAGCCGTCAACATTTTGCACAGAATCTCTCTAGCCGTCAACAATTTGCACAGAATCTCTCTCGCTGTCAACAATTTGCACAGGATCTCTCTAGCTGTCAACAATTTGCACAGAATCTCTCTAGCTGTCAACAATTTGCACAGAATCTCTCTAGCTGTCAACAATTTGCACAGAATCTCTCTAGCCGTCAACAATTTGCACAGGATCTCTCTAGCTGTCAACAATTTGCACAGGATTTCTCTAGCCGTCAACAATTTGCACAGAATCTATCTAGCTGCCAATAATGTTTGCATTTTATTGAAAACAATTGTAGCCATTCTGTATTCTCTTTTTTTATTTCTGTTTCACTTCTGCAATCATCGGTTATTAGTTGCCTAAGACAGGAGAAACTTGTTACTTGTTCTTATATCTCTACATTTACTGTGATGTTTTCTTCTGGTCACCCCCTTCCATTGTCAGTTATTATAGTTTTTGTTTATCAAATGTTAATGTCTAAACCATACTATGTACTTTGCCTGCTGACTTGATCCACTAGGTCCTGTAACTCCTGCTCACTGTCAGGTTGTCATCCCCTTGTGGGATGCCATTTTTCGTTATTTTGAAGCCCCACCCTGGCTCTTTCAAGGGGCCGCATGGTGGCACTTTGTGTCATCAGTGTTTATCGCTCTGTGTGATGTCCTAGTGGGGTAAAATGTACTACTACTATTACTACTCCTGCTCACTAAAATGTCATAACGTCATCCCCAAGTGGAATGCAATTTTTTTGTAATTTTGAAGCCCCACCCTGGATTTTGTTGGCAGCCCTTAATATAACCAGGCCTTGAATATGGCCTAACAGGGTTTCCTGGGACCTCTCCACGGGTGATCATCTGCATGGTGGCTTTTATATCAACGGGTGTTTATCGCTTGTGTGATGTCCTGGTGGGGTACAACTTACTCACATACCTCCTGCTCACTTTCTGCTAGTAACCCTGTGTCATCAGTATATCTCAGATTAATTATTATTCTTCCACTAATATTTTTTTAAGACATCATTTTTAAACATGTAATTTCTATTCAAATAATATTACATGATATTTCTCACCTATATATATTGTAAAATGTGAAAGGAAAGGTGAGGCCAAAGAATCCAACTGAAACAAAATTTAAAATTAAAAACAAATTAAAGAATAATTACTAGTTACAAAAAAAATATAATTAAGAAAAAAATTAATTAATACAAAAATATAACATATGGCAAACAATATATAAATAAAATAATAATTTACACGAATCTACTGTATTTATGAAGCAAAAACACATTTACATCACTTACAAATTATGATAAAAATCATGTACTGTAAAGGAATAACACATTACAAAATGCTATCCTACAAAATGCTATCCTACAAAATGCTATCCTACAAAATGCTATCCTACAAAATGCTATCCTACAAAATGCTATCCTACAAAATGCTATCCTACAAAATGCTATCCCATAAGCAGTTCTAACCAACAAATCTATACCTTCATTCCTATTTACTAGGTCTCCAATTGCTTTTTTGATCACCTTTCCTCTTCACAGAAATTGTAAGCTACCATTTCCTTTTCCTTCCCAATTACCAGTTGTAAACTCTGAAGAAAGGTGCTGGTTGTTTATATACTTCTAGGCTTTGGTCCTGTTCTAGGGCATGATCTTTGTGTGCACATTCCAAAGAAATGTGCACTTTGTTTTTACACTTCTAGGCTTTGGTCCTGTTCTAGGGCATGATCTTTGTGTGCACATTCCAAAGAAATGTGCACTTTGTTTTTACACTTCTAGGCTTTGGCCCTGTTCTAGGACATGATCTTTGTGTGCACATTCCAAAGAAATGTGCACTTTGTTTTTACACTTCTGGTCTTTGGCCCTGTTCTAGGACATGATCTTTGTGTGCACATTCCAAAGAAATGTGCACTTTGTTTTTACACTTCTAGGCTTTGGTCCTGTTCTAGGACATGATCTTTGTGTGCACATTCCAAAGAAATGTGCACTTTGTTTTTACACTTCTAGGCTTTGGTCCTGTTCTAGGACATGATCTTTGTGTGCACATTCCAAAGAAATGTGCACTTTGTACACTTCTAGGCTTTGGTCCTCTTCTAGGACATGATCTTTGTGTGCACATTCCAAAGAAATGTGCACTTTGTTTTTACACTTCTGGTCTTTGGTCCTGTTCTAGGACATGATCTTTGTGTGCACATTCCAAAGAAATGTGCACTTTGTTTTTACACTTCTGGTCTTTGGTCCTGTTCTAGGACATGACCTTTGTGTGCACATTCCAAAGAAATGTGCACTTTGTTTTTACACTTCTAGGCTTTGGTCCTGTTCTAGGACATGACCTTTGTGTGCACATTCCAAAGAAATGTGCACTTTGTTTTTACACTTCTGGTCTTTGGTCCTGTTCTAGGACATGACCTTTGTGTGCACATTCCAAAGAAATGTGCACTTTGTTTTTACACTTCTAGGCTTTGGTCCTGTTCTAGGGCATGATCTTTGTGTGCACATTCCAAAGAAATGTGCAATTTGTTTTTACACTTCTAGGCTTTGGTCCTGTTCTAGGAAATGAACTTGGGTTCGTGTCCTGGCGGAGCCGGACTTTAAAAAAAAAAAACACGACCTTGACTCCCAGGTTGACCCAGCCTTGAATAGGTACCAGGTGCAGTCCTGGGAAGTAAAGGCGGCCGGCATGATGGTGACCACATCACTCACTAAGTCTTGATTGGTCTATAAAAAATATAGGTCTAGCTCTTTATTCTTAATATGACTAAAGTGGTGGAAAATGGACCTTTACTTACTACATATAGGGCAGCGAAGTCGGGCTATATAATCTAACACACACCTAAAAAAAATTCTTAGCATACACACCTCTAATCTATGACTTCCCTCTAATCAACATGTGACTCTTAGCTTTATCCACAGTTAGTTTTTGTCAGTTGCTACTCTGAGCTAGGACCTTGTTTGCAGTATTTTGAGCCTGTCTGCAACAGTCGGCAGTGCAAGGATGTACCTACCGCACACAGACTACAGGGGTGTCTCTTCTACACCCTAAAATGACCCACATGGCTACATTCTGTATGCGTTCAAGCTTCACCAGCAGACTCTTCATTATGGTGGGCAGCCCCCGTTTACAATCCATCAAAGAAATAATCAAACACCGGTAAACTGTGAACATAATCTTTTACTCCAAGTCCACTGCTGCCATAATTTTCAGTGTACTGAGCTTCTTTTGGCATTTTCTCAACTGCATCCACATGGTCCCTGAATGACAGGCTTCTATGGAAAGTGATACCAGGTACCTCAGTTTGTCTTCTCTTTTCACGTTTCTATTGTTTTCTGTGAGGTTTGGGATAAAAAAAAAAAAAGTAAAGTTCCCTTTTCTCGCCTTTTGGCGCATCGGGCATATGGGCAGAGCGTCCCATATTTTTACAGACCATCAGCACTCTGTGGGTAATGTGGTCAGCATTACGCCGGCTGTCTTTACTTTCCCAGGACAGCCCATCCTGGTACCCATTTTAGGCTGGGTCGACCTGCGACGTCCCCATACCACGACAAAAATCCGCGCAGCCAGCAGTGGGTTCCGATCGCGGTATGCTGGCTTACGAGTCGGACTCGCAACGCCTTAGCCACAGAAGCCGCGAGGTTTGGGATATCAGCCCTTAACAATTCTACCATCCAGAGAGCGCCATGAGGATGCTGCTTTTTCACGCACCTCAGTACACTAGCTATTTACTTTGTCCACTCTAGTTATTGAGCTGTCTGTTGCTTATCTCTCCCCTGCCTATATACAAGAATGTCATCTGCAAATTGCAATATCTTCATCACACCAGATGAAGGGCAACCTTTCGAGTGTACAGGTGCAGCTGCTATTCAGGGACAGACCGACCCTCCTCTCTATAACGGGGGACATGAAGATATCATATCTAACTCTGCTATAGGCATCCTCAAGCCCGTGGCAAAGCCACCTGCCTCGCTCTCTGAAAGTCGTGGGTTCGTTTCATGGCTGTGCCGTTCAGTTCACAAGTGCAATTTTTACAAAGATCCTAGGCATTGTCATCAGAGCTACAGAGTTCGTGCTCTGTGTGATGCTTTCAGCAGAGGGCCTGACCGAGCCATATGGGATAAAACCTGGTGCAATGAAGTCAAGCCTCTTGACTTTAACCGCCGCCACTACCATCTCCTGTGTATTCTGAAACCCCCCATACTCATCAAATGCAAACGTGGTCGCACTTGACCGGGTATCTCTGTCCCTGGTGGGTAACTACCTAAACCCCTTATGAGGAGCTCTTCCCTTTCTAAAAAGAAGTGTGTTGTCTAATAGCAAGGATCTTCTCCAGGACTCTGCTAAATGTATTGTGTAGAACAGCACCGCGTGACAGAAGAGGAAAGATTACATGCATGACAACAATGTACGACATTAGTTGTATTTCTACTTACTGTAGAATGAAAGCTCAACTGCCTGCGCTGGTGACATATTAATGATTGGAATTGTAAACTTCCAGACCTCATAACCACCATAGTATGTGATCAAATAGACTAATGTCACTGCCTAATGACAGGGATGGGAGAAAGAAAGGCAAACAAAAAAAGGTTAATATACCTTCAATGTTGAATGTGTGTTATATCGTCAGGTAATATCCAATAACTTCAGTTTTGCATTCAAATTCGTTTCACAGATCTGGCTTACCTGTCTGCAGACTGTTGGTGCCTTGCCTCTCAGGCACGTGCACTCTAAGAAGTTAACACTCTTATCAGTCGCTTTTTAACAGCATGCTGGTTAGGTGACAGTGGGTTTATCCCATCCCTATCCCAAATCAAACTTGGGAACCCACAGGCAGAACTGGCTTTGAAAGATTATGCAGAAGGAAAGCAGGGCTGTCGAAGCTGGTACTATTTGATCCTTGCCAAGCAAAACTGTACTTCTGGTACCATGCCTGATGTTTTGGCATGTTCTAGAAATTTGTCATCAATATTTTAAATTCTGACTCAGACACTGTGCTGAGCCTTCAGTTTTAAAATTTAGTGTAGGATTGCCCTTCCACCTTGCCCTTTCACGAGCTTTGCTCGTGAGTCCCAGCCATCTAGTTTAGCCCCAACCCACGCCAAGCGGCGTGGGAGATACTCTCAGCGGTGGCGGTAGTCGCCAACAGTGAACACTTTTAGGTCGCTGGAAGTCCGCAATTCACATGTGACTGAGGCCCTGTTTTTGGCCGCCATAATACGTGGCCGTTTTTCAGAGGATAGCCCCAAAAAAATTACATATTAAATGATCGGAAGACATCGTAGCAGTGGGAAAGTTAAAGGGAACAAGGGCAGAGGGACAGAAGATGCTTCTGGCATTATAGTATGGGAGATTGTTTGTGTCAGAAATGACTGAAAAAGCATGAGACAGAAGGCTGTGGATACACGGCTCTTTTCTAATCTAGCAATTCCCCATGTGGGTTCCGGAGCCCTATTATAACTACATAGCATCAGGGAACTGAGAATCAAAACAAAAAGCTAAAAAAAAAACTTATTCGTATGACAAATGTTTTATTTCTGTGACAACAATAAGAACAATTAAGTGCAACGGCACACAGGGGAAGATATTAGGAAGAGGAAATGCAGCCTGAAAACTGAACTTTACGGCACAGCAGACCACACAATTAGCCTTGGCTGGCAGCTGGTCTACGAGAGAAGTCTCGGCAGGCAGGCAGAGCACTGCTTTTTTGATCATGCAGGTTCTGAAGCATACTTTGTTCCAAGCATATTGGTGTTGCCCTCTTCCTTTGAAGTAAACCAGGCAGGCAGAGAGAGAGAGAGAGAGAGAGAGAGAGAGACACAGAGAGAGAGACAGAGAGAGAGAGAGAGAGAGACAGAGAGAGAGAGATCATGATGAATAGCAAAACACTGTCTCTACAACAGACAAGGATTTGCACTATGGATGGGATGAACTTCATCCATTTCCCTGAGCTGTGATTCTCAGCCCCCCCCCCCCCCCCCCCAAGAGTACAACATAACACTATCCCCTGAAAAGATAGAAAAGTAAACCAATCAGTACAAGCAAAAATGGACAAACACACAATAACAACTTACTATCTGCCCAATATCATAGCCCCAAGGAAGGAACAGCACACCTGTGTTGTACTTCTCCCAGTGGCTGAGGACAAAACATACCATGATTCCCATCACACAGATAAGCATGTGAAACACACTGATGCCGTGCTCCCCTCGGCCAAATATACAGAAGATGGCTACAGGCAAAAACAATGTGGCCCAGCTATCTAGCCCATGGTCAAAAAGTTCTCCTAGGGGAGAGGATGACTTGGTTCTGCGGGCCTGCTTTCCATCAATGCCATCTGAAATAGGATAAGTTCATGTTGTTTACTGTTACTTCTATACTTTCTTCTTGCACTATTGTTATAAGAACAGAAACTGACCTTTGCACTGACTGTGGTCTAGTAGCTGACTGACAAACCATGAGAGACAACAGCCTGTGCTAGTCTGTGTCACACTACCTGTTTTGACAATTGCTACTGCTGTCTGAATCCCTTTAACAGGCCAGACTCTACAAATAAGACTGCCAGTAAGTTGTGAAGGCGAGTCACATAATTAATGCTCTAAAAAGACAAAAAAAAAAAAAATAATCCATCAAATAGAAACTTGGGCTGATGAGTGTAAATTATTCTCTTTACATTAATTCGTCTACAATTTCGTATGACTAAAAAGTGTTGGGTTAGGGACCCTTTAAAAAAATATACATATAATTACACTGTATCTGTATACACAACAACTGAATCAAATGTTTAACGTCCAGTAATATAACTATAATACATTATTAGTTAGAAGCTGTAAGCTTTTAATAAAAAATAAATAAAAAAAGTGGCTTTATTTGTAGAAATTCTACGTCACATTTTCCGTACTCACTACAGTGGTTACCGGGCAACAGCGAACATGTCACAGCAGCAAGTAAGTGTCAAGATACAATTAGTAGTCAGGGCTCAAGCAGCAGAATCTATGCACAATTTTTTTTTAAAATTTACTAGGCACCTTACTTTGTATAGTATCTGTTTGTGTTTCAGAAGATAAACTGGTTTTGTGTGACATGTAAAATGGCTGCTTTTGTAAGGATTTTGGTTTCCAGAAAATGTCAGAAAAGTTAAATGTAGGAAACTTGGCTTTGTTCCCCCCCCCCCCCCCACCCCCCCCCCCGATCACTGGGTGAAAGAGCTACAGTAATAAAAGCATTAAAATAAAAAAAGTATGAGATCCCTTCCACTTCTTGTGGCACATGGTGTTCTAGGTCCATATTTTATAGATCAATCTGCATTCATTGGATGGCATCAACAAGTCGACCACCTTACTTTCCCACGACAGACTGGATACACTTGGAAACCTTATAAATCTGCCTTGATACAAACCTGAATTCATGACTACTGTCCCACATAGGAAAGTCTGCTAGTCCCTAATATTGACTCTATTAAAGGTGTTGTTCAAGCTTTTGCAGGTTTTTTCTGATGCAAAGTTTTTGGGTAGTAGTCACTAGGTCCACATAACAGTTATGGTACTGGCTACGACTGCAAACTGCGCAGACATACCGGGTGTAACTACATGTGTTGTATATTAATTGGGGCGGGGGGGGGGGGGGGGGGGGGGGGGCATATTTTCGAAAATGGTGTTAATCGTGACATCATAATTACATCATGTTGTTTATAGGCAGTTAAACAAAAACAAAAAACTTGATTATTATGGTCTAGGGAAGACAAGCAGCTAAATCTTTGCCCTATGGATTTTGTGAATTATAAAGATTGGAAAAACAAAAAAAAAAATTTTTTAATGACTTGACAGCCTCAGTGAAGCAGCAGCCTTCCTGTTTGCTTGGTGGTCTAGGGATTCGACCCCCTGGACTTTGTCTAGAGTTTTAAAAAAAAAAATTCAGAAAAAACGTGTTTTAAGATTTGTTTAGGGTGAAGAAGTTAAAAGCAATGTGCAAATATATTACAACAACCCATAAAACTACTACTCAGAAAGAGCAATAAGTGTAGATAAATTATATCTCACAGTTAAATGTCAGTGATGAATAGCAACAAGTGCATATAATCATTGTAAACCTCTTCTGCTGTTAAACATCATTGTGGGAAGGAATAAATGTGATCCAGTGCTCGCTAGATGGCATGGTTATTGTCATGCCGTGAAAGTGTAAGGTGTCTTTAATGCTGTTGATCCATTTTTGGCAGTTGTCCTCCTGCTCTTGCAGCTGAGATGTGGTGCCTGTGATGGTATTTGATGCTGCTGCATTCTAACAAGATGGCCAAACCCCTTGATCTGCTGTTTCTCAATGAATCTAGTACAAGGTGTCGTTTCCACAAACTGTTGGACAGCATCGCTATACACTCAATCTCGCATAGTTAGGTTGTGGCTTTTACTCAGGCATCTCATCTCCCATATATGGGCTTTTGATATGTTTATGTCTGGCACTGTTAGCTAAATGTTGGTATGAACACGCTGTTTATTCTATATGTTTTATTTATAGTTTTTCTGGCACTGTTAGCTAAATATTGGTATGAACACGCTGTTTATTCTATTTGTTTTATTTATAGTTATTCTTGGATGTCTTAATAATGATGACAATTGGTATATAAGTGCACTTGCTGTCTGACAACTGACTTCTACTTCTCCGTCAATTCTGCCATCGTCCATAAACATACTTCCTAGATATTTTAATTCCTTAGGTGAAAAGTGTAGTTACATTCTAAAATAACCAAATGTCAGTGATAAATTAAACGGAACTTACCAAGTGTGTGTGCAAGAAAATTGTTGACCGCCCCCATAAGCCAGACCCAGTTTGGAATGGGAGCATACTCTGGGTGATCTCGGGATGATGCATAAAAGTGAGGGTCATAGTAGGTCATCACAGCAAAAGTGAGCAGAAGCAGAAGAAACCCAGTAAACGTTAGCACATTTGGTGCGATCCATAATGGTACAAGCTGTAGGGAAATATATATGAAAACATTGTTACGATAACTGTGTCGTCTATTCCACTTCACATTCATTGGCTTTTAGGCATGACAAGTGTTAGCAGTCAAAGTGTTTCACTGTTCAATATCTTCATAAATTTGCACAAGAGACAATGGTGTCTTATCACCACTCCTGTTTATCACCTACAGACAATATAAGCAGCAATGATGCCAGGCCCAGGAACAAAAATAATAGTAACATCAATGAATTACTCTGCTGATGACCAGGCCTTGATTGCAGATGCAGCCATGAATTTGCAAGAGTATCTCACATTCAAGAAGAAAGAATGTAAATCAAATAAAAAGAGAATCAACATCGAAAAGACAGAAGTAATGTCAATAGGAAGAAACAAGCAGGAATGAAACACAGCATTAGAGCACACATATATTAAACAGGCATGTGAGTTTAAATATCTTGGAACAAAATTCACTGAAGATGGTAAATTGGATGAAGAAATTGACATCTGATGCAGTAAAGCAGGCCAAGTATTGGGACAGCTAGCGCTCCTCTTACAGCATAAGGCAATCCCAATCAGCAACAACAAAAAAACAAAAACAAAAAACAAACATTGCATACAAAGTTTATTCATTCGCCCCCTATGCTGCCAGTGCCAGGCGTGATCACTCACAACAAAACATAGAAGAAAATTAGTAACCATGGAAAAAAGGTGTCTGAGAAAGACTGTAGGAGTGACCAGAAGAGATAAAATCAGGAATGAGGTCATACGAGACAAAGTTGGCACAGAACCAATTCTAACTTACATACAAAGACAGCAAATCATATAGTTTGATCATTTGCAGAGAATGCCTCCTGATGATATACCATACAAGGCAGATACCAAAAAAGGAGATGGATGTAGAGCAAAAGGTAGACCAAGAACAAGATGGGAAGATAACACAGAAACTCTACCGCCCCACTATGTGTCTATGGTCAAAGCAGCCAGAAGAGCATGAAGCAGGACCTTGTATCTCCCTCGACACCCAAAGCAGTAAAATAGGACATAAAGAAGAAGACAATAATGTAACTTTTCCATTCTGTTATAAAAAATCTATAAAAAAAATTTTTTAAAGAAAGCTTTTAGAGAGATCATTAGGAAACCTGTGGGGACGAAAACTAGGCTCTGGCTAAACAAAAACAAAAAAACAAAAGTGTGCTTACTGAGAAATAATAACATTAATATATCACTGCCAGCGTATGTGGCTTAGGAAATGCTAACGTGCTTAGCAATGCTAGGTTTTATCCCAGCTGCAGGTGACTGGCCAGCAAACCGTCTTACAGTTTTCAACAGTAGTTCAGAGAGTCAACCACTTCACAAAGCAATGGCAAACTAGTGAACATACACTTGCCTTAAAAATCATAACAGCCAAAAAATTATGGGTTTGGTCTCCAATACATCACTTAGGACCAAAACTTTGTTGAGATTAACCAAGTTTTCTTCTTAAATAAGTTCGTGGTAATGAGGTTATAATGTAGCAACACATTTTAAATATTTAACTCTATAATGTAAAATGAGTGCTCTGTATGAAGCAGAAACATAGAGAATGACTTGATTTAATTACTGATAAATAACAAAAATTCACAAACTACCGCCTGCAAATAAGGCAAGAATCCAGGCAAGAGTATGTGTCTAATTTTATACGAAAACGTCGCTGGAACTATGTCGGCCACGCCCTTAGAATGGATAAATCAAGACTTCCTTACCAAGCCCTCATTTGGACACCACAGGGGAAAAGATCTCGTGGAAGACCAAGGGAAACCCTACGTAGGACTATCATCAGGGAAGGCTCACTCATGGGCCACTCAAACATCCAAGACCTACAACAGATTGCAACGAACCGCCATGCATGGAGAGTCATGACCTCTGCCCTATGTGCCGCACTCGACACAAGAGGAAAGACTAACTAACTAACTAACCAACCGCCTGCAAAACAACAAAATTAATTAAATGGTACGACAAAGTGGCGAAATGGTCAAGATGTTTGACTTGCGCTCTGAAGGTTATGGGTTTGTTTCATGGGCAGTATTGTTGTACAAGCTATGGAGTTTGTGCTTTGTGTGACACTATCAGCAGGCAGCTAGCCATTCTGCTGAGAAAACGAGCCATATGAGATAACAATCCGGAGCAATGAAACTGATCCTCTTGACTTTAACTTTGTGTTGTATGCATTAAATAAATACCAGGAAATTGACAAAAGACAAGGCCTAGGGCATGACAACATAAACAGGCTTCATAGAAATGCCTAGAACATTTTCAGGCTCAGAATGGAACACTGTAAACACAAAGCACACCCACGTCAAACGGGTCTTGCTAACTCTGCTGATTGTGTTTGGGGCTCACTAAAGCAAACTCCATAGCATATCTTACAGGACTGCTTAGACTCTGCCAGACAGAAAAAAAGAGACATGGTCTATAGGAGCATACCTACAAGATAAACTATGGGGCACTGATAAAGTCCTCAGGCATACATTTCCAGTTTATGATATCGGAAAAGATGCACAGCAAACACTGATCACCGAAGAAGAAGAAAACACAAGAAAAAGACACTAACACTCCATAAGACACTTAGAAAACCTGATAATACTTCTTGACTGCTTGCATTTGACCCCACCGAATCAAAGGAAACAGGATTTTAAAAAGGAAAAACAAACAGTGTGAGTTCCAGTGTCCTTTCTGAAGGGAAAACATAGACCCACTGCCCTCTAACAAGCAAGTCATAAAAGGCTGCGAATTAGGGGCTGAATAAGAATGTGTCAGGGGAAATAATGACCTGAACCACAATAGCCCCAACCGCCCACCATTTAAAGGGTGAATGCAGAGGAAGACAATACACAGGAAAGAGAAAAAGAGCTTGCTATAATCAGAAATGGGGGGGGGGGGGGGAGCTGCACATGATGGCAAAGGAAAGGACCACTTGCTGTGAGCTGGTTGAGGGCTTATGCTCCACTGAGGGATAAAGTGCAAGAGATGAGCAAATGTCTTTCCTACAATATTCACTTTAAAAAAAAACTCAGTCTAATCCGTATGTCTAAACACACAATACTTATGTCATCAATGCATCTAACATGGAAAGCAGATGGACTGAGGAAATGAGCATGTCTAAGCAAAACCATAAAACAAAATGCTGTTGTAAGAAGCTAAAGGTGGATTCAAACCACTAGGATACCAAAAGGATTGTACAGGATAAACTGAATGGAAAACAAGACTTTAAGACCTATGTGATGCATAAGGACACAAAAGGATGAAGATGATGATGATGACTGTACCGCTAAAGGCAAATAAGGCAGACTGCTTGTGCCATGTCACAAAAATGTCATTAAAGGTTGTGATGAACTCATCACCATCTTCAGTACAATTGATTTATCACTCAATGAAACCCAGATGGAAAGAGGGTGAAGTAATAATCATGTTATACACATATAAATATAGTGGAGGGAAAAAAAATAAAAAGCCCCCTAAACACAGTGTTCAGCAGGCCATCAACCACACTGTCTGCATTATGTGAGCTCCTTTCTCATGTATGTAGATCATATCTGTTATATATTAGAATATTGACAGCAAGCATTTTTATCTCTTGCCAAGCTTCAGTGACTCAAACTGTCAAATTGTTGACATTTTAGCACTCCATAAAATGCATATGCGTCTTATCACCTATTTTTATTTATGCATCATGCTCTGTGATGCGCTAATATCTACAGTAATACAAGAAAGAAGGTAAAATGTATCAACAGTAATAAGAGAAAGAAAGTAAAAATGTATTAAAAGTAATAAAAGAAGGTAAAATGTATCAACAATTAAAAGAGAAAGAAAGTACAAATGTATTAAAAGTAATAAAAGAAGGTAAAATGTATCAACAGTAAAAAGATTTTTTTTAAAGTAAAATGTATTAAAAGTAATATGAGAAAGAAGGTAAAATGCATCAACAGTAATAAGAGAAAGAAAGTAAAAATGTATTAAAAGTAATAAAAGACGGTAAAATGCATCAACAGTAATAAGAGAAAGAAAGTAAAAATGTATTAAAAGTAATAAAAGAAGGTAAAATGTATCAACAGTATTAAGAGAAAGAAGGTAAAATACTTGGCACATTCTAAACTAAAGCAGACAAAGAATCACAAAACAGGCACATAAAGGGGAAAAAAATGGATTAAGAAAGTGAGGACACCCCAGAGAAACACTGACAAGGATGAGTTGAGCTGCACTCAGTCAAGAGCCAACATCACAGCACTCATGATATTCCAATATGTGCTCTGTCCTCATCTTTAGCAAAGAGTTCTAGTATTAGGAGGCAAGAATAAAATCCATTTCCTTTCCATTTGAGACCCTGGTGTTCTCAAGACATGAATTACCACTTCATTATAGAAGAGAACCAAATAAAATTGAGGAAGCAAGGACAATTGAAAAAAAACTACATAAATATAAAAATCTGGACCCAGAGGTACAAGACTAGATTCCTTTCAGGATACTGAAAAGCCTGCAGAGGGATCAGGAATCTAACGTGTGCCCTCTGTGATGTATAAATAACACAATAGAATAAAAATGACGAGATTTTTTCAAGATGAATGTTAAATTTGATTTTGGTTGTTTTAAATGTTTCAACTTTTATTTATAGTATTATTATCATCACTTCCATTACTTCTTGGGCCTCATCAGTGTAATATGTGCTACAGCTTCTAATCCTGATTTTTCTGAAAAGATATAGTCTGCTCTGAAAAAATAACATAATCACGAATGACAAAAAGGAACATTGTGGCTAGAAAACCTTCAGCAGTATACAACAACACAGACAATGATACAACATCATCTTCTTCAGCATTCTGAGCCCTAGAGGTTCATTGCTGCAGATATCACTCGCCCCCACACGTCTCTCTGGCGGACGTTCTCCCTTCGATTTGTGTCATCAAGTGTTTGCAGGTCTCTCTAGACATCTCTCCACTGTCTTCTTGGTCTGCCTCGTGGTCTATGTTCATTCACCAACCTTGTGTACACAGCATTTTAACTCTGTCATCTGACATTCTCAACATGCCCCAGCCATTTCAGTCTATTATCTCTCATGATGTCAGTGATCGATGGTAATTTAAACAGATTATGAATTTTGTTGTTGCTACTCACTGTCCACTCCCTGCTGTTTGCATATTCATATATGATGGGTCCAAAGATTCGTCGTAAGACTCTTTTAGAAAATTTGTAGTAAGGCTTCATCTCTTTTAGCTGTTTCTCAGCCACATAAAACCACTGGTTTTATCAATGTTTTATATATTTTGATCTTGGTGTCGCAAAATAGAGACTTTTAACTTTAGCATGATACAACTACATACAGTAAATAATCTGTTAAAGACAGAGATAATTTTAACCATAAATGAGATATTTTCTAAATCATAAGTAAAAATTGTTTCCATCATAACTAGTTTCACCGACATGATCATACAGATGTGCACAGACAGCACAAATGTCCTAAGTTTTGAATTACACCATCCACATACTAAATACAAACTCACCTTAACACATCTGTTCCAAAATGGATGGCAAATGTAGTTGCTTACTGGGCTTGTGTCAATGGCACTGTACTATTTTTTGACCAGAAATCAATAAAAAATTAAATAACAATAGCGGATATAAATTTAAAAAAAAAGGCTATCCTCAGAATAACGGCCACATATTAAGGCGGCCACAAAAACACCCTAACAAGAGAGTGACTGAGGCCCTGTTTTTGGCCGCCATAGGCATAATTTGTGCCGTTTTTTCTGAGGATAGCCCCCCCCCCCCCCCCCCAAAAAAAAAAATTACATATTAGTGGAAATGATAGGAAGACATCGTAGCAGTGGGAAAGTTAAAGGGAACAAGGGCATAGAGACAGAAGATGCTAGACACTGGCATTATGGTATGGGAGATTGTCTGTGTCAGAAATTACTAAAAAAAAAACATGAGACAGAAGGCTGTGGATACACGGCTCTTATTCAATCTAGCAATTCTCCATGTGGGTTCCGGAGCCCTATTATAAGGGAAAACAAGAACAGACCCACTGCCTACCTACCCGAAAGCATGTCATAAGAGATGACTAGTTGGGAGCTTCCTTCTAAGTCAGAGTGCATCTGCCTGAGAGGCAAGGAACCAACGGTCTGCACGCAAATGAGTCAGATCTGTCAAACAGATGCACACACAACACTCAGGTTCTGAAACAGGACTGCAGATTAGAAGTACACGAACAACCAGAACTTTTGCCGGAGATTACAGCCAGCGAACGCAAAGAAAAATTTATCTTATATCTACACCTAACATTGGCATTAATGAATATAAATTTATAATCACAAACAAAATAGCATAACTGCTTCAAATCTGTCAGTCCCAAGGGGGTTTAGCATCAAAGGCCCAAGCAGTAATAAAGAGAAACGTAAAATGTGCATCTTGTGTTCATTTTGCATTTTTAGTTAGTAGGTATGTAGGAACCTACATTATCCTTAGTAAAATATTACACATATAGGCTCTCCATCGAACTTCGTCCCCATATTGTGGTGGCCAAATAAATACCCTAACAGGGCCTCAGTCGTGTGTAAAATGCGGAACAAATTGTGGCAAAACTAGGATCGCCTCCTAATAACGGGCCAATATTATCAAGGGCAAAGGCTCTGAACTGTCTCAGCGATATGTTAATTGCGGACCTGTTTCTGCGAATATGCCGCACCGCTAAGTGCGGCACAGATAGTGTGCTAAACTAGATGGCTGAGACTCACGAGCAAATAAACTGGAGGAGATGCGGTAGCTGCTGCTTGTGAGTCTCAACCATCTAGTTTAGCACCCCATCCACACCGCGCGCAGCGGCGCGGGGATACGCTCGCCGGTGAGTTTAATCGGAAGAACACTATCGCTAACCTGCGTCGGAGCGCGTAGTCTCCCAACCATGTCGCTATTACCGTGTGTAATGTTGCGTTTATCGGAATTGTAACCGGACAGTAATCCTAGTTTTGCCGTGATGTGTTCGTTGGAGGAAGTCTGCATTTCACACACGACTGAGGCCCTGTTAGGGTATTTGTTTGGCCGCCATAATATGGGGATGAAGCTCGAAGGAGAGCCATCATATAAAGAAGGGTTTCTTAAAACTTTTTTGCTCTCCTTCAAATAACGGTCCCAAATGATCTATGCAGAAAGTAAATCCAAACACAGCCTCACTCATATCTAAAATTTGCATTTCTTTTGCGGCAATTCAACCGTGTCAAAAGTAGGATCAATTGCGCACGATACTTTCGCGAAACGCAACAGATTTTTTAACGGCGGCAAAACTAGAAAAAATTAGCGACATGTGAGAATACTGCCGAAAGCACTATCCTACGGCAGGGCCCGAGTTATATGTAAGTTGCGGACCACTTTTCGCCGACTATAGTGCCACCTCCGAGAGTATCGCCCGCGCCGCTACGCGCAGAAGGGGCTAAACTAGATGGCTAGGACTCACGAGCAGCAGCTACTGCAGCTTCCTCTAATGTATTTGCTCGTGAGTCCTAGCCATCTAGTTTAGTCCCTTCCAAGCCGCCCGGGGGAATACTCTCGGAGGTGGCACTGTAGTCGCCGAAAAAAGAAGTTCACAATTTACACGTTCCCCATACTTTTCGTTCCTTATATTTCCTGAGTTACAGCTTTTAAATGTTTGTAGGGCAGGACGTAATGAGGCTCTGTTAGGGTTAACTTTCTGCGTAGATCATTTGGGACCATTATTTAAAGGAGAGCCGAAAAAGTGAAAGACTATGTGACATCCGTAATATTATAAAAAGCAAAAGTTAAACAAAAAATTTTAAAAAGTTGGGCATTCCTTTGAATAACGGTTCCAAATGATCTACGCAGAAAGTAAACCCAAACAGAGCCTCACTCGTATCTAAAATTCGCATTTCTTTTGCGGCAATCCAACCGCGTCAAAATAGGATTAATTGCGCACGACATTTTCGCGAAACGCAACATACTTTTTTACGGCGATTACACGGCAGCAAAACTAGGATTAACTACGGACAAAAAATTAGAGGCACGCAAGAATACTCCCGACAGCGCTATCCTACGGCAGGGCCACAGTTATATGTAAGTTGGGGACCACTTTTCGCCGACTATAGTGCCACCTCCGAGAGTATCCCCCGCGCCGCTACGCGCAAGCTGGGACAGTTCAGAAAGTTTCCAATCTGCTGTTGAATCCTGAATGGTTGGAGGTGGTCTTCATTTCAATATGCCTGTTTGTTCCATCTTCTGCGTAACCTTCGCCTTGCCCAGTGTTTATAATATAATTACATATCTTGAGTGTGTCGGTTGGTACCAGTACATTCTCGTCAGATGGCGAACTCCAAACCATCTCACTCACCTGTTGCTCTTTTATGAATTTTGCGACTATTTTTTTTTTCATTGGCCTAGCTAATATTTATCCCGCCGCATAGTTTGTTGTAATTTAGCAGCAGTTTTGTGTTACCCACGCAATTTAAAATTCAACAATATAAAAGCGTGAGCATACTGCACCTTGTAGTTATCGAAGCCAGACAGCACCTCTTTAGAAAGATACACAAAAGCAGCCATAATGCATTGTTAGTTACAGGACATGTTCACGTCGCCATTGGCCGCACGTAGAGGATGATCCAATCAGAACCCAAGGTGATCAGCCGGAAGTAGGACGGTGTTGCAGTAAAATGTTGTCCTTTTGTAATGTATCCGCGGCAGTCACATAAAAGGAAACCATATAAGACAGCTAAGGAACCTTCTTCGATATAGCAGGCCTCCGGGCGGCTGAAAGAGGATCAAATTTGGAATTTTTGTTGGACGAATTGCAATTGGTCACATGCTTCTTTCGCAGTTGTCTTCTTTAGCAGTTGTTTTAGTCATCCACTTGTGGGATGCAATTTTTCGTTGTTTTTTTTTTCCAAGTCCTAGCCTGGATATTGATAGGGGCCGCAATATAGCCTAACGGTTAAACGCGGTTTCCGGGACCTCTCTACGAGTGAACCTCATCCGCATGGTGGCATTTGGTGTCACCGGGTGTTTATCGCTCTGTGTGATGTTCTGGTGGGGTAAAATGTACTTAGTTACATGCTTCTTTGACCCGTGTGGGTCACGGGGCCCCATTGTGAGGAAAACAAAAAAAGATCCACTATCTATCATAAGTGTGTCGCAAGAATTGATTAACGAGGGGATTTCTTCGTAGTCGGAGTGCGTCTGCCTGAGAGGCAAGGAACCAACAATCTGCACTCACGCAACGCACACACTAGCAATTGTTTAATGTTCAAAATTACAAATTTTTTGCTAATTTGTCACTCAACATTGACACCCGGTGCGGCCACCCCTCCCCCAAAACACTTCCTGCTATGCCTCTTGCTGTGAGAAAAGAAACAGAGATGAGGGCGGGGCTACTGTGCCAGTACTTGATTGGCTTTACTGTTAATTCTTCATCTTATTTTCTATCTTTAGTGAATGTTGATTCCACTCAGTTCCTTTCTTATTATTTTTTGTTATGTGAAATTTTAGCTCTCAGTGCAAAATACATTTTCTCCAGGTAATGTCGGTGTGCTGCGGAAACGAACATGCAGACAGACTGGCTTGTTTTGCACCACTTGGTTGTGAATAGTTGTATGACAAAGCTAGATGTTGTAAGCGTGATTTGGAAGAGTGTTAACAGTGCGGAGGCATAGATCATTACGGTCTGAGGAGAATGGCGCTGTGGGGAGTTACCAGGGGTACAGGGATATACAATCAGACAATTATTGGTGTCATCAGAATTGGAACTCTCAGTCTGCTACTGAAGATGGGCACGGAGCGATTAAGGGAGTGACCCAAATGCTCCAATGTCGATTCTAAATTCAATATTCATCATTATTGCTCTCACCTCTTTTTTCGCATACTTTTGACTACTTTGAAAAATATTTCAGCTGCATGTTGTCTTATTTTCTACTAATAGCTCTCCGAAACGTCCCCGTTCGGCATGATACAGGAAGTAGGCTATATTTTGCTGTGTATTTTTGGTATATTAAACAGAATAAATAGAAAGATAAACATAAGAAAAGTCGTTTAACACTTTGTAGCCCTCTTAATTTTTAACAAGTTACTTTTTATGTGAAAAGACTACTTCTATGCTACAAAGAGACAAAAACAGAATTTTATGTCAAAATCATCGTTACTGCTCACTGTGCATTCACATGCGTCTCAGTTTTACGGTGCTACAGTCACAACAAAATACATCCCTTGCATACATAAGAGAGCTGACAGGAAATAGATCATAAGGCAGACAAAGAAGACGGTGGAGAGATAATATACAGGCAGATCTACAAAAGTTGAAATTCCCGGCTAGAAAAAGGCCAACTACAGAGATTATTGGCGGTGGATGATGTCTGCAGCAATGAACCACAAGGGCTCGGAATGCTGAAGGATAATAGGAAGGAGAAAAGAAGACGTTACACACTAGATCAGGAGCATATATATAAATATAAATACACACACACGTTTTAAATTTGTATGTCTGCAACTAATAAACAACAATGCACTATTAGTAATATTTTTTATTGTCCTTTATTTCTGCAGATCAGACGGCGTGTAACATTTTGTTTATTGAAAAGCAAGTCACCAGTATATAAGAGCAAAGCTACTAAAGACAGCACACTATCTGCTACATATAATTATAAAATAGGAAGCCTTCAAAGAGTATATTTATGTCCTCTCATAACATATTCAATTATTATTTCCTCTGACACACAATCATTTGACACACTTTGCCTTGAGCTCTTGTACACACACACACACACACACATACACACACACACACACACACACACACACATATATATATATATATATATATATATATATATATATATATATATATATTACATTATATATATCTGTCTTGCTATATTGAAGCTGACTGATTTCTGTTGTTTGTCTGGTTTCTTTCTGTTACAATTAAACTCAGGAATGACACACTCCTTGTTATAGCGCGAGCACTTTTTATAAAATGTTGATGAAATTTATAAATACTTGACCCATGTCTTATTATGCGCGGGAAAGGTGGGGGGGGGGGGGGGGGGGAATCCTAAGATGAAAATTGGCTTATATTTAAAACTATAATACAAAAAGTCACATGGTAACTAATATACAATGCTCTGAAAATTAATATACAACTAAAAATATTTTTCGGCACATGTCACACGGAGTCATAATTTGCACAATTACAATTCACAGTGATACGAATTTTAAAGAAATGCAGATGTCAATAGATAATCAATAGATAACATACTTTGTAGGGTTATATCAGATAAATATGGTACATAGCCATGGCTACTGGGAAAGACAAGTACAAACAAAGTTGCTTTACAAGGAGAACCACCTGAGTATACGTGGATTCATAGGGTGGACAATTGACAGAAGAATACGGCAAGGCAAACGGAAAAGCACACCTAATTTACGTGTTTTCTTAGGTTTTTTGTTCTGTCAAAATTCCTTGTCAAGCGACTAGAATCTACAATGTTCAACACTCACAGAACCATTATTTAGGTACTAAATTTATTTAATGTGCACTGTTAAACGAACTGTTTCAATTGTTTAATTTGTTCGTGAATTTTTGTTTCTTTTTTTAAATGTGTAATCTGATGTTTAATAAAGAAGTAGAGGGAGAATGGTGCAGCTGGTACTTACTGGTTTGTATCCACTATCTAAGGACTACATCTGTGATGTTCGACAGCCCACGACTCACAGAGCCACTTTTCAGATGACAATTTTGTTTGCAGTGTTTCTTAAATATATCATACAGGTTAATTTGCAGTGACATTTGCGATTACATTGCAGATTTGGCTGAAGATGTAAGCGAAACTCCGTCTAAAGCATCCAGTTCATCTGTAACTACACAAGTCATTGGAAAAAGACCTTTCCTCTTCTTGCGTAGGCGGCCCACTCGATAGTATCCGTAGCACATCCCATCTAAAGGACCAGCGACGAATGATCTTTGCTTGATTATCTGCCCCTTTCGGAAACTCAGCTGCCCTGGCAAAGATCCATTGTAATCTTGGGTAGCCTGAATAATAATAATAATAATAATAATAATAATGAGGATGAATATGATGATATGAAAGACACTATGCTCGCGACAAAATTAAGCGTTATCTCCACAATAAAATGTGACTTTACTTGTGACAATTTAGGATGTGATAAGTACAAATATAACAAAACCCGTGCTAGAAGAAAAGTGTAACCTGTGTTGGAAGCAGTTAATAGTTGTTCCCTATGTGGGATCCAATTGTTTGTTATTTGAGCCCCCCCCCCCCCCCCCCCCCGGCTTCTGCCAGGGACCTTAAATATAACCGGGGCATAAATATGGCCTAGCTATAGATATGGCCTAATGGCTAAAGATGGTTTCTGGGACTTCTCCATGGGTAATCCTCATCTGCATGGTGGTACTTTGTATCACCGAGTGTTTATAGCTTGTATGATGTGATGGTGGGGTACAGCTACCTACTTACCCACCTGCTGGAAGCAGAATAGAACCTGTGCTGGAAACAGTAGCACCTGTGTTAGAAACAGAGTAGCACCTGTGATAAAAACAGAGAAGCACCTGTGCTAGAAACAGAGTAGCACCTGTGTTAGAGACAGAGTAGCACCTGTGCTAGAAACAGAAAAGAACCTGTGCAAGAAACAGTAGCACCTGTGCTAGAAACAGTAGCACCTGTGTGAGAAACAGAATAGAACCTGCGTTAGAAACAGACTAGCACCTGTGTTAGAAACAGAATATAACCTTTTAATGGTAATGATGTAGTAGACATTTTCAGTTCTCGTCTAATATGAGGTAAGCCAGGTATGTATGTATGTTTTTAAAGACATTTTAGGTGGTTTTTTATTTCAAAATTGAAATGGCACTTTTCAGCGTGATTTAGTATCTGTTGCATAAACAATTTGGTGCAACTCCCAAAAAATGTCTGCAGCCCTGACTGCTGATAGTCTAACCTTTCTTACCGTGACCATCTTTCAGTCGCATAGCACAGAGCGGCTTCCCGAGCGGTTACAAACGATAGACTCCCCTCGGGAGATCCAGGTTCGAATCCTCGTTAAAGCTACGGGCGTTTCCTGTCAGGGGCGAATATAAAATCTCTACTTGCACAGTTCGCAGCGATTGCGCTTGCTATGACAGCATAAATCCTTACATTCGAGACTATCTCACCCAATCACGTTTACCACCGCATCAAAAAGTACTTATCACAGAAAGTAAAAGCAGCAAGCAGAGTTGACAGACCTCGAAAGGTTTCATTACAGTAGATACCATAGTTAGTCCTTGCTCTCTCCGTATGTGTTCTGAAGCCCCGTTTGGGGTTGAAGGGGGGGGGGGGGGTACTGCTTCCTAACAAACATATAGTGAAAGCGATTAATTAGGGGTGCTTCCACCTAAGAAGAAAGGAACCAATGGTCAGCAAACGAATAAGCCACATCTGTAAAATGGATGTGCACGCAAAACTCAAGTTCTGAAACAAGACCAAACTCCAACAATGGACGAACAACCAGAACCTTCCGCCAGACTTCACAACCAGTCTGCGATACGAAGAAGA